CGAGTGCGCTCAGGAGGACAGGCTGCGTTATGACGTTGTCTTGGAGGGTTTGGCGTCCAAGAAGTAGTCGGTCCTGGACAAGGGCTGCATCCGCGCGGTCTGTTGCAACGGTGTCTGGCCGCTTGCCTGTGCGCGTGCCGCCGGCTGCCAAATTGGAGACAGTTGTCCGCGGTGCTGCCAGCCAGGCGATAACATCTTCCACCGTCTCTGGGAGCGTTCGTCGCGCGGGGACATGCTAGGAAGCCCGACCGGGCGGCCCTTGCGCGGTTCCATGTGGTTTTTTTTCCATCCAGGTGACTGGCGGCCGCGACCCATGGGGCAGGACGAGGCCTTTGCGGCCTTCGTTTTCAGAATTCTTGATGCCGACTCTTGCTCTGGCGCGCCTGTCGATATTTCCATTGGTTTCGCCATGCGCGCGGACGTGGGGCAAAAGCTGTTTGGGGGGCATTTCTTGGCTCGCTCGTGTAGGAAGCCGCCCATCAAGGAGCTGTGGAGAGCGGGGCGGGGCGCGGCGAAGCTCGGCCAATGGCGAGCTTCGGGCGGTCCTCTACGGCCATCTCTCCTCCAGCTACCCGCAGACCAGACAAGCGACTGAGTTTGGGCCCCCTGCCAGCGCGGCTGCTTATTTGTCCCCGAACCCCGTTAGATTCAAGAGCGATTGCCAGCATGTCGTCAAGTTGTGAGCGGCACTCGCACCGCAAGATGTATTCGGGATTTGTTTTGCAGGCTGGCGCCTTAGCTGACGGCGCCACTGACGGCGCAGATATGGCGAGGGCTCACCTTGAGCTGGGCCAGTCTCACGATTGTGACGAGCTATTCAAGACGAGGGGAACAGTTGGGCCGACAGAGTTGCGAAGTTGGGCGCGTCTTTGCATCCGGACGGCGCAACAGACGACCACCAGCGGGTATCGCATCTCGCGGCTGCTCCCTGTGCCTTCATCAAGCTCGCGGCCCGAGTTATGCCCCTATGGCCGCGCGCCGAGTTGGGCGGAGCCCCACTCGTGCCGAAGCCCCGCGCGGGGGGGCCAGGCCGCGATTGGGCCGTGGCCGGCAGCCCTCCAGGAGTTTTCTGGCAGTGCCAGCACTGCCTATGTGGCCCTCGTTCGCGGATGCAGCCCGTGCCAGGTCACTGCGCGCAGCGCCTCAGGGTTCAGCCCTTGACTCTGCTGAGTCTAGGGCGCCGCTGCGTCCTCGTTGACTGCAGCGACGCCTCGTTTGTGTGCATTTGCCAGCGGTGTGCCAGTCATGCGCCAGGTGAGCGCATGGCGAACCTCGCCGTGACTTGCGCCCCCCTGGCGGCCCCGCGCAATCATGCCAATTGGGGGCGTCTCGGCAAGGGACCCCGCCCAAGGGAAAGTGGGGCCAAGGTCGATGTGTCCACCTTCTGGCCTCTCGGCGTTCCAGGCTCTGCTGTCGCAGGCCCGACGGACTCATCTCCTTCCGGAGAGGGCGGGGCGGGGGGCGGAGGCGGTTGGGCCTCGGGCGGGAGGGGCGGGACCTCAATTCATCGAGCTGCAAACCACGGGTGGCGAGCCCTGGGGAAGTGAGTGCGCGGCCGAGGAAGAGGCGGCGGACCCCTGTTTGGCCCAAGGCCTGGGGCGGGCGCTGCCGCGCAGGCTGAGCCTGGACAGGCGGCTTCCGCAGTCTCCCCTTTCAGCGCCTCCGCTGGTGGTGCTGGCGGCCGCCCGACCTCTTCTCTGGAGTAAGTGACCATGTTGAGGCCCATTGGCGCTCCATGTGCCGCGGTCCCCCACCCGCGGGCCGCCGTCGGCCCCGATCCGGGCAGGGCCGGGGGCCCTCGGGCGGGGGGCGCCGTCGGCGCATGGAGCGGGAAGCGCGCCGCTGCTTCGAGCAGCGTGGGCGGGATCCACTGCAATGGGGCGTTGTAGGGGAAGGGCCCAGAAAGCGCCCTGATGCCGCCCCCCACCCAGACCCCGCCCTCTCGACTTGGACGGGAGATGGCGACCCCAGGCTTGGCTCTGGTCATTCCCGCCCAGCGGCGGTGGACGTAGAGGGGTCCGCCGCGGCGGGCCTTGCAGGACAGTTTCCCGTTGCGTCGCCGCGCGCTTCGGCCCCCCGCGTAGGTGGAGGGACTGAGGCGGGCCCGCTCCCGAGCCCTCGCGAAGGCGAGCAGAGCTCGGGGTCGCTGGACTAATGTTGAGGGGGGGGGGGGGGCTCTGTGGCGATCTCCTCCATTCAACCTCTTTGCCCGTGGATGTCAAACAATTGTTCCTCTATGCGCGCAGGCAGCCCCCTCTGGGTAGTCTCTCGGCTGACCCCAACAGGCCCCCGACTAAGGAAATCCGAGAGGCCACGTGCGGCGCGCAGCGGTTGTATTATCTGATCCGCACGGCCGCTCAATCATGCATTGGACGACGTTCGCGCTGCGATGTTCTGACGTAGGTCTGCGACGTAAATCCCACGTGGCCCAAACGCAATTCCGAGGTGATTCGTCCCAGATTCGACGATGATCCGTCGTACATAGGATATCAAGTAGCGGCGCGAGGCCTCCAGGATTTTCCGCATAATATCCCCCGAAGAGTCCCGACTGGTCCTCAAGAGCTTGGTTTTCTTTTGATATATAATTACCAGCGAGAGACATAGTTTAATCAGAAGGCAGACGGTTTGCACTTCGGGCCCTTGACAAGTCAAAAAAAAAAGCAAACAACTCGCGACGCTGTTTTAACATGTGTAGCTCCGTTTGGGCCCGTCGTTGTGGATCATCTCTTTTTGGTTTAGCGTTGTTTGCTCTCTGGTCGAAGGCTGCTCCTTGTCTTCCCTGCTGTCTTCACTCCCACTCGTGTCTGCCGCCTTTCTCCCTCCCAGAGCTAGACAGGTTAAGAAACGCGCTCGAACACCTGTCGAACACCGGACCCGTCACGGGCCTGGTGGCCCGATGGCCCCAGGATGGTCAATCGGCCATTGGGCCCGCCAGACTGCATGCCAGGAGAAAGACTGCACGCCAGGAGAACGTACTGAGGACGTCGTAGATGACAACGTCAACGTTGCAATCAACTGATCTGAAAACACAAGAAAAAACGCGACTAAATTTCAAGGCGCATTGATAGCTGTTTCGCGTATTTTTCCGGTTGGGACCTAGAAGTGTTCAAGCAATTGATTTCCAACACGCCGAGTGTAGACACGGTAAGAAACACCCTGTACATAACTAAGAAGAACCAAGTTTAAGAAGTTCGTCGATTGGTGCAGGGACTACTAGTCGTTCTTCAAGGCGTCACCTGCCATAGCCTTCGAGGTAGATTCCCGATCTCCAGGACCGCGTGGGCATCTGATCCCACCATCGCAATGGACCAGGGATGCTGGCCTGTTCGATTGTGTTGCAAGTCGACTGCTGCGCTTGCGAAATCGATTCAACAGAATCGGACCTCGATCAGGGGCACACAGGAGCCGCGCTTGGATCGCGGGGGGCCTGCTGAGGCCCACCAGGACTACCTGGGGGGGGGGGCGTCTGTGCGCTGCCCCATTCAGTCTGCGTGGGCTGTCCCATGCAGTCGACCAGAGGAGGAAGCTCAGGAGCGACACAAAGACGTGCGCACACACGCGAATCCACGTCTGTTCCGACACGCGAGGTGTCTTGACAAGGGACCGGGCCTCGCAAGCCGAGGTGGTGTATTCACGTATGTGACTGGGCGCGTACATTTTTTTGTCACCCCCGAGAGGTGATACTTGATTTGATACCGCTGATCCAATGCGCTTCACTCGTTGTCGCCCTGTTTCGAAGAAAAAACAACGTCGTACATACAGACTCTCGGAGGTCCGCGCGGATTTCTTGGATCGGTGTCGGGCCCCCCTGGCGGCGCCTCTGGACCGCTCTGCGCGCCAGGGAGGGGGGTCCAGCGCCGATCCAAAATCTGGTCGAATCTCCGACAGTTTATGGATTGTGAATGTTTCTTCTATTCTGGGGCCTCGCGGGTAGGCCCTCATCACCACGGCGGGATCCACCTCGGGATCTTGGTCAGATCGCAGCCAGAGAGAGGTCTGGGGAGTCGTGGGGTCCGTCTAGTTTTCCTCCTCCCTTCATCCTCCTTAACCTCACCACCCTCTTCCCCCTCCTGGTTTCCATTCTGATTCCAGATCGTGTTCACAATGCATCCCCTCCCTTCCACTATGCCCACGGCGCCTTGCTATATTGATGCAATGTCCGGGGGCCTGAGACGCACAGGCTGATTTGGGCGGGTTTGTTTTGTGGCTGCCCCGCACTTCGGAGCTATATGGATGCGTTGCTCTGCAACGGAGGCGTTGCTGCCACAGTCCATGAACGACCTGGTGTGGAACGCCCGTTGCCGTTATCGTTCGGGTCTGTTATATGCATCCGCTTGTTTTGGTGGCAACATTTCTTTCACTCAGGAAGCATTTGGCGCAAATCACAGTGTACAGCGTCGCCCCATATGCGGCAGCCACCACTTTGTGGGTGGGCGAGTGCTCGCATTGCGGCCAGAATCTTCCCTACGGCTGACACGTTTGGTCAGTATTTCCTCGACCCCATCGTCCCCCCCCAGCGGTCTGCTGCAGCAAGCGTCTTCAGCACCGAATGTGAAGCGTTGCAGAAAACGATTGCGTTGGCTCACGATTAGCCCGACGTGATCTTCAGGGTCTCGTGCTGAAGAATCCCAGAGATCGCATCACCTCGGAATGCGGCGATGACGTCATATTCCATCTCAGGTGTTGCCGTCGCGAGGCCCTTTGACGCGAATAGCAGTGACAATCGAAGTGATGGCCGAGGCTCATATTGCAGTTTGGTTGAGGAAAACGGTTGATGCGGCCAGCAACGTTGAGGACAATGTTTATGAGGTAAGCAGAACGGAAGGACGAGGGTGATTCAGAATTTGAATTTGCGTTTCTGCTATATGTGATGGCCACGTTGGTGAACACACCAGTGACATCCCAGCCGCCAGGGTTTCGGTCGGACTCTCTCCCGCCATCAGACAATTCTGAAAAGTGTGAAGACCCATCCCTCGGCTCCCCCCATGCCTGAACGGCAGGTTCGGCATCACGCCCGTCGCGGAGGTAGTCAACGGGCGCTCTGCGATGATGGGTCCCCTTGGGCGAGACCAAAGCTCCATCCACAGTCAAAGTCAGGCGTAGGTCAGGATAGACACATTGTAAGCTTTTCGCGGCGCCGTGCCAGCGCGACATCGAGATGTTCACGGGATGGTTTTACACCATGGGCCCGTCACATTTGCACCGTGGCTCCACCATGGCTATTTATGCAACTTCCGTTGGCCTCTGGGGTCCCCAAATGGCCTCCTATGGGCGTCATGCCAGCGCAGTTTATGTATTATTCATCCATCAGTTAATCATGTATTAGAATTCCTATATATGAAAAATCCGATGTATTAAAACCTGCCCTGTATTCTGCAAGTTGATCTGTTGACAAGTTTACAAACGCCATCGTGGGGTTGTCTGGAAGGGTCTTGGGGCCGCCTCGAGGCCGTCTTCGCCCCGTCTTGGACCGCTTCGGAGCCTGTCCTCTCGGCGTCCTGCGCGGCCGTCTCGGGCCCATCGTGGGCCCGTCCCGACGCCTGCGGCCTGCGTGCAGATGCGTTGTGGCTTCTTGCTGCCACTCTGGGCGAGAGAGGGAGGAAGGCATGACAGCATGACACATTCATAACTCACGATCGTTCCTTGCTTCTGGCTTCCAGGCGATCTCTCGCAGAGACTTCAGATGTGAGCCGAGTTTGTTGGGGTTTCCTCGGGGCTTCCTGGTTGTCTCTTTGAGGTTGTTTAAGGCATTTTTTGTTGGGGGGGGTAGGGTGGGGAGGGGGGGGGGGCTGGAAGTTTGGGGGTCTTGGTGGGTGTGCGGTCGAAGCAAAGACAATTTTCTTGGATCGGCGCTGCCCTCTCCATCCTGGCGCGCGGAGCGCGCCAAGAGCGGCTCCACATGCGCCGTCAGGGGGGCCGCGCGATTTGAAAGTCTTTGCTTGTGCGATTTGTTTTTCTTGATGTTGGTCGGTGGGCAATCTGGAAGACTCTCATGGTCGTCCCCTCCGTGGGCCCCCGAGGGCGAAGGTCTCGTCCTGGGGGAAGGTCCTGGGGCTCATGACCCGTTTTTCCACAGGACCCGCCCACCCCATGCTTTAAAAAGGACGAGGCCTGTTTTTGTGGTCCTCATGCGCCCTTGCAGCCTCCGTGGCCCTGCTGCCGCCGTAGCTGGCCCGATGCTTCTCAGAGGCAGCCCAGCGGGAGACGTCCTGCCATCGGAGGGAGGCCAGCCGAGACAGCGGCGGCCCTCCCTGGTGCTTCTCGTGCTCTTCTGGCCTCCTGGATTACCAGCCTCGAACTCATCCCCATCCCCAAGATTGACACGCCAGAAGGCGACGACAGTCTCAGGGATCCGCCCTCAAAAAAAATATGGGAATCCCTGAGATCGGCATCGTCATGAGGAGATGCCCGGCCTAGGGATAGGGATATGTTCCAGGCTGGTAGCTGGAGGCCTTCCTCGTCGCCACGGCCAGGCCCGCCTCGAGAGTCAGGTCAGGACGGGTCCCTGGAGAGGTCCGGGGGCCGATCTTGAATTATGGCGGGCGTGTCCCTCATACAGGGGGATTTTCGACGAACAATAAAAAATACCCCAAACATGCCCCAAACAGGTCAACAAATAGTTAACACATAGTATGGGGACTCTTTGTTGAGCATGTTTTGGATATTTTTTTGGTATTTGTTTTATTTTTCGTGGAAAATCCCCCTGTAGGGGGACATGCCCGACTTAAATCTTGAACGGATTCTGGCCAGGCGGGAGAGCAGCCGTTGCCTCCTGTGGCCCTCCTTCGAAGTGTGCACAGTCGCGCGTGCCCGCGGCTCAGGTCGGCGAACTCCTCACTCGCGTCGTGCCCCACAGGGCACTCCAGCAGGGGTGCAAGCGTGCACTGTCGCAGAAGCACTCTTGCCCTGCGCGAGGCTTTGTTTCACCTTCCGCCAGGCTTCTTGGTCTTCGGCGCTTCTGGCTCAAGAGTCCCACGACGATGCCCCTAATCCCTTATGCTGTTTGGCACTCGGAAGTTCTCGAGGGATTGGAGGGGATGTACCCCAGGCCACCAGGCCGCCCAGAGCGCTGGAGCCCCGGCTTCGTAACAACTCATCTCAATCTACCATGTCACTGCTTACCTTGGCGAGCCATTCGTCGCCCTCCAATTCAGCTGGTTCAGACTGTGGCTTACTGCGTGCAACGAGTCGGTTTCGTATGTTGAATCCTGGGGCGCACGCCCTACAGTCATCCTCTGTTCATTTGCATCTGTAGAGTTACGTCGGGCCCGACACTCTACAGGAGGAATATTCAAAATACTACAAACATAGTCTTGGGATTTTTGTTAGTATATCTTTGCCATTTTGGGGTATTGTTTTTGCGCATTCTTTATTTTTCGTCCAAAATCCCCCTGTAGGAGGACAGGCCCGACTTGATTGTAGAGTTGGGAAAGGGGGGGCGTGGGAGAAGTGCGACGGGCAGGGACCGGCTGGACTGGCTCTGGCCCCCTCCGCCCGCGCGCCGCTCGAGGCATCGTGCTCGGGGTCTTCACCGAGTGGGCCACCGACGTGAGCGTCACAAAGCAGATCGACGAGCTGATCGCGATCTTCTCGACGCCCAGCTGAGCCGGCGCGGCGCGGGCCCTGAGAGGGGGGCGATGGGCTCTCGGACGTCTCGCATGGCACTTACCAGTTTGAAACATATCCCTATCCCTATGTTTGACATCACCTCACCTCGATGCCGATCTTAAGGATTCCCTCAGTTTCTGAGGGCATATCCCTAAGATCGTCCTCGCTTTTTGCTCGCCAATCTTAGGGATAGGGATAAGTTCGAGGCTGGTTATGGCACTGCCTTCACTGGGCTCCAGTGGCCTGCTTCGGCTTCGCGTGTGCGCCTCGCGTTGCCCCGCGTCCGCTCGACGCGCGTGCGCTGGTTGCGCGTCGCTTCCCTGTCTGCCTGCTGGCTGCAGGAGCACTTGCCTGCCCGCTTCGTGCTGGCTTCGTCTGCGCTCTGCGGTCCTTGCCGCGTGCTCGTTGTCTCGGGCAACCGGCGACGGTGGTTTTGGTCCAACCGCGCCTGCACAGGATTCACCGGGCGCGTTCCGCTGCTCGCAAAGTGCCTACTCGCAAACGTCCGACAACAAAGCATGTCCTCCATGTGATAAATCGTAAATCCCCCCGCGGCGGATCCGGGCCATTTGCAAGTAGTTACTCTGCGATTATTGGAACGCGCTTGTCCAGAGATGGTCCACCCCCTTGGGTTGTCGCTTACCCCACACCGCACGAACACCTGGGGCCGACGATGTAGCAGAGGAACTCTTGGGCTTCCCTCCCTCGCTTCAGGCTGCCGTCCCTCTAAGCGCCTTCCCCCCTGTCCTCTCCCATGTCCATCTCCCCATTCCCCCTCGTCCCCCCGCCCCCCCTGCTCCTCTTCCTTTTTTCGCTTTCCCTTCTCCTTGGAAGTTGTCCAGCAATACAGGGCGCCGACGCAAATACTGGGTGGGTTTAGTGCAGAAGCTCCCCCACGGAAATCCGGGGAGACGCGCGTTACCAAACGGGCTGGCAGGTAGCTCTGAGCCGGCGTTTCTTGATACAGCGTCCGCGCGCATTGGTGTTCGATTCTCGATTCAGGTAAGTTCGACTGTTGACGCTTATTGTATCCCCACCAGCTCGTCCACTAACGATGATGAGGGACATGTAGGAGCAATCAATGGATCACAGATGAGGGGCAGCAGTCGAACTCAAGCGCGGGATCGGCATGAGCAGATCCAGGAGACCACTATTATAAGTGAGTTCGCAGATTTTTCGACATTGGACGGAATTGGGATTCTCTTGAGGCCCTGGTTTGGCTTTTTTGGCCCTCTTGGGGGGCCTTTCGGGATCTCGGGCATACAGAACAACGTGGCGGACTACATTACGTATTCCCCCGCAGGAGACTGACATATCACATCTTGGGGCGCTCTTGGGGCTGCATTGGCGCCCTTATGGCCTTCTCTTGAGGCTCTTGAAGCCGTCTTGAGGCCTCGGAACACCCATCGCCAGCGAACATGTGAAACATCCCAAATCATTGAGTACAGCCTTGGGATTTTGAAGGGTTCTGGCTTCCTTGGGGCGTCTTTAGCCCATCCTGTACCAGCATGGAGACATGCTTGAAGCCATCCTGAACCATCTCGGGCTAGCGCGATCTTGGAGGCAATCTTGGGCAACCTGATGCCATCCTGACGCCATCTTGGGCTGGCGTCCAGGCCGAGGGGATTGGGCTGAGCAAGGGGCCATGCTCCCAACGGGAACGCCAAACACTGTCTCGTTCAGTCCCACACTCCCTCGCACCATGCAAGGAGCACTCGAGACGCAGCCTCGGCCGAGGCCTCCAGCGGGTGAACATCCAGTGGGAGCAGGTACTTTGCGGCTGGCAGGTGTGCGACGTTGGCGAGGTGTGCCACGCGTGAGGTGCCCCAGGGGCCCCAGGGGCCCAGGCGTGCCAGGCGCGCTTGGTGCGCCAGATGCGTCGTGCGCTCGTGTGCCCCAAGTGTACCTCGGCGGCGAGCGAGGGGGGGAAGTGAGAAGTGTCGGGCCTTCTCAGAAGGCTCGGAAGTCCCCCGGCTTTTGAGGAGTTTTCTAAGCCTTCCCCAAAGGCACCGACAACTTCTTGAGAAGGCGCGAGGGTTTCTGAGAAGTCCCGCCGCCTTCTGAGAAGGCCTTCGCCTTCTCATTTCCCCCCCTCGCTCGCCGCCAAGGACCACCTGGTGCGCCAGGTGCGCCAGGTGCGCGAGTTGCACGGAGCGCGCCCGGTGTGCTAGCAGTTCAGTGCACGTGTCAGGATACATCAGGCCGTATATGTCGCCCCTCGGCCATCTGTGTCAAACGCCATTGCAAAGTGGCGGCGGGCTGGTCGGCACGTTATCCGTAAGGGCTTCGCCCCATGCCGCCGGCCCCCTGTCTCGGATAATGGGAGATGCAAAAGCTAAATCATGAGGTCTGGGCGCCGCCGTGAAGCAATGTCGGGACCCGTTTGTTTTTCGACCCTGACCCTACGGATCTGCGTCACGGGTGCCACAGAATTTCAGAAATGTGGCAAATTCTGTGTGTTTTTGGACCCTGACTCTACGGATCTGCGTCACGGGTGCCACGGGATTTCAGAAATGTGGCAAATTCCATGTGTTTTTGGACCCTGACCCTGCCGATCTGCGTGAGGGGTGCCACCGAATTTCAGAAATATGGCAAATCCCTTGTGTTTTTGGACCCTGACCCTGCCGATCTGGGTGAGGAGTGCCGCCGAGTGTGAGAAATGTGGCAAATTCCAAGTGTTTTTGGACCCTGACCCTGCCGATCTGCGTGATGGGTGCCACCGAATTTTTGAAATGTGGCAAATCCCTTTGTGTTTTTGGATCCTCACCCCGCCGATCTGCGTGAGGGGTGCCACCAAATTTTAGAAATGTGGCAAATCCTTTTTGTTTTTGGCCTCCTGATCCCGTTGATCTGCGTGAGGGGTGCCACCGAATTTTAGAAATATGGCAAATCCTTTGGGTTTTTGGACCCCGACCCTGCCGATCTGCGTGAGGGGTGCCGCCGAATGTGAGAAATGTGGCAAATTCCAAGTGTTTTTGGACCCTGACCCTGCCGATCTGCGTGAGGGGTGTCAGCAAATTTCAGAAATGTGGCAAATCCCTTTGTGTTTTTGGACCCTGACCCCGCCGATCTGCGTGAGGGGTGTCACCTAATAAATTTTAGAAATGTGGCACGTCCCATGTGTTTTTGGACCCTGACCCTGCCGATCTGCGTGAGGGGTGCCACCTAATTTCAACAATGTAGCAAATCCCTTGTGTTTTTGGACCCTGACCCCGCCGATCTGTGTGAGGGGTGTTAATTTTTATTCACCCCAGCAACTCAGACAATAAGATTTGGGCGTGGTAAGAATGCCCGTTTTGGGCCTCCCCCCCTCGCGCGGTCCATCAACAAGGAACAAGAAGCAGCAACTGTAACAGTGGAAACTGGAAGGTGCAACTTGTACAGGAAACTGCGAAGCTTCGTCGTACAGCCTGGTGGCCCCACAAGGGGGCCGGCGGATATGCTGCGTGCACCCGCAGTGAGTTTACATTTATTGTTGACAGGTAAGTGGAGCGGCGCACAGCGGACACATATGATCACACCGCCGCCGCCGCCCCTGTCGCAAACCAATGTCAAGTGCTCGCTGGGGTCCAGCTCGATGTGCAGATTTTGACGCCACGTGCAGTGCATTTCCTCGGCTGGGATTTTTAGGGAGGGTTTCCCTCGCGGTTTCTGGTTGGCGGCAGGCCGAGTGGGGGAGGTCGTGTCCACTGATGATGTGTACAGTCAAGACGCTGGAGTAAGGAACAGTTTGGGTTCGGAAGGGGCTCGATGTTCCTTCAGTTCCTCCAGTGCTGTTCCTCTTGCCCTCCTGGGGCACGGAGGCGCTTATAGGGCCAAGAAGGGGCTTCGTTCCTCATTCAGCGTTCCTTCTTTCAGCGGCCCGACTGTAGTGGTACCCTTCCCCGAAGGGGAATCATGGAACGAGCTCGCTGAACCACCTACCATCAAAGGCCCAGCACGTCACAGCGGGCCAGCGATCGGCTGGCCCCCGGGCCGGCCGCCGTCAGGGCCGCCTCCGCGACCCCTCCTGGGCGGCAGCCTGGGCCCGAGGATCGCCCGGGCCTGGTGCTTCTGGCTCCTTCGGGGAAGCGTGGCCGGTCTTTGCCCCGCTGCCTCCGCCGATGCGCGCCGTGTGCCGTGTACCCTCCCCTGGCTGGCGGCGAGGTGGCGCGGCACCGCTGTGCCGCGCCACCTCGCCAGCCGGCTGCGTCCACGCGGCGGCCCCCTGCCAGGGGCGCCCGCGAGGACGCGAAGCAGTGTCGCGCCTCGCGGTTCGCGGCCGCTCCCCACGTCCTTGTCGGCAGCAGCTTACGGGAGCCTGGTGTGCTCTTGTGAGTCCGTCTTTGGAGGTGCGTCGGCGTGCGCTAGCGAGTGGTAGTCGATGAAGAATCGCCGATGTAGCTTCGATGTAGCGCCGATCTAGCATCGATTTCGTGTCGGATAGCGTCGACTCGCGCAAGCCAGCAAGATGGCATGGGCTGCCCCCATGAGTTGCTCACCAGCTCAGCCTCTTCATCCGCTCCCTCCCCGTCAACGTCATCCTCGCGGCCCCCCAGGACGAGGGGAACCCTGGCACCTGCCGCTCCTGGCGGTGGCTTCGGCGCTGCGTTGTCCCAGAAGCGTTTCCCTCCCGCGACGGGCGCGCCCCTGGTGGAGGAAGGCCAGGCGGTAGCAGCCCGCGGCATTGTGCCACCCCGTCCTCGTATCGTCGTTGGCTTCCGCCCGTCTAGGTCGGGCACTGTTCACCTTGCTTCCCGTTTTGTTTGCGCTGCGCCCTCCACGTTGCATGTCCCTTTGGGCGGCGGCCAGTGCGCTATCCCTTTCTTCCCGCCGTCCATACCTGGATGGCGATGTGCTGTCCCCCTCTGAGCTGGCGCGCGCCGTACTTGCCTTGCGTCGCCTCGTCGCCGCGCCCTGGGCCGCGACCGCCACACACGCCGTGTGTGTGTGTGTGTGTGTGTGTGTGTGTGTGTGTGCGTGCGTGCGTGCGTGCGTGCGTGCGTGCGTGCGTGCGT